TCTTTCTTTTGTTTTTAAGAAAAAAAAAGAAAAAAAATAAAAATAAAAAAAAGAAAAAAAAGGGGGGACGGGGAGGGATAGTTCCTAGGAGGAATGGAAAGGGCCAGAAATCTCCCTCCGCGCCCAAGAGGACTCGACACCGCTGTAGCGCAGATGCAGCATGGAACCCGTGCCATACCCTACCCTTCATGCCAGTAAACCAGCAATCTGGGATAGCAACCTCACATCTGCCGAGCTACCTCGGTGGAAAAAGAGGGGCGGCCGGATATCCGCCACAAAGCATACCTCCTTCAGCCACCACCCCCGGAATCCGAAAGGTGGCTTCCAGAGATACACCCGTCGCCCAAAAGACACCCAAAGCTACTCCGGAATACCGGAGAGGGATCGGGACATCCCTAGGCAATCCAGATTCCACGGCAAACTACGCCACCGCCAAGAAACCTCAACGGAATGGGATGGACCCCGGTGTCCTTTCCCCTACCTAGGAACTAGCGCGCCTGTGGGAGAAATCACGAAGGCTAAAAAGAGGAAGGGCAAAAGGGAGGGGTGAGGAGGAGGAGGAGGAATGGAAAAAGGGGAGGATGGGGAGGATGGGATAGGGGAGGGGAGAAGGGGGGGTAATTAGGTTCGGTCTGAGGAAGAAGACCGACAGGGCTAATTCCTCAGACCAAGAGCCTCTTCACCACGCCAAGGAGCCCCCCTTGAAGAGGCCGACCACTCAGAGCCACTAAATCTAGCATCAGCCATCTCCCTACCTTACGCTGGGAGGAAATATCCTGCCCATTACTACCGTAGATTTAAACAAAAGCAACATACATCAAGCTCACCACTGAGGTACCTATAGGTCACTTTTGAAAATGATGGTAACGCGTAGCTCAATACCTAGCTCACTTAGCTCTCTCACGGTCCGGAGATCGAATCCCCGGCATGGTTGGAAATTATTAGGGCGCGTTTCCTTAAGACACCTGCTGTCCATCAGTATAATGGGTACCTGGGTTTTAGTCGACTGGCGTGTCGCATCCTGGGACAAAATTGACCTAATTTTCCCGAAATGCTCTGCATAACAAGCGGCTTTCCATACAGTAGTATGTCATTGAGGTCACTTAGGCCTGTGTACCTTGTACATGTCCTTGTAGAAATGATATTAAGGCAGCACCAGAAACCAGGTGCCCGGTAGTCTGACCTTTAGGTCATTGCCATGACCAAAGTTCATGCAGGGGTTATTAGGATTCTTGCAGAGGTACAAGGAGAGGATGTTTGTGCCTCGACAGATGACAAGAGGACACCAACTAAACTACCCTGCCACTAACAATCCTACCCAGAGCACAACTCCAGTATAGTTTTTACAGAATAGAGCATCATTTTATAAAACAGATTAGACAGTTGCAAAGGTACCAAAAGCAAGAACGCAGAGATGGACACACTCACTACCCATGGCGATTTCCGATAATTCCTCCGTTAGAGCCCGCATGACCCACCTAATGTACCCTCAGATCGTCCAGCTGACTATCCAGTCTTCTTATGGATGGTATAGATCACCTCGGTATAATTAATAGGGTCACAGGGAAGAGAATGACCCATTCCATATTAACTGAAAGGTTGGGGGGAGGGGGAAGGAGATTCCCTGCCGATGTCAAATACAGTCGAGGATAGGAGAGGTAGGTGGGAAAGGGGGAAGGGGGGGCTGTCCTTCAGTCACTTAAGCCACATTACGTAAGGTGACCCAGCGCCGTGAAAGCCAATGGGGGTAAGAGTGATCTGGGTTTGCTGACAATGTACTCCCAGCGGGTTGGTTTTATACCAAGAACTTGAGACTGCACAGTTTGTAAACTGTATCGTTCTCATCTGAAGTCATGTTAGAATAGAAACGTCGTACCTTAACATTCTACTAGTTTTAATCATCGAGTTGTTAAGCTTTAAGAATTATTTACAGCTTAAGGTTTACAAATAATTCTTCTAAATTTTTTAAAGAACGTAGTTACACCAAAGAAAGAACATCGTGAAGGTCCTTAAAACGACTAGAAAATATTTTCGATTTTAAAACTAAGCGCGTTCATGTCGAGACAGTGGTGTATGGGATCTATACACAGATTTGTATAAGGTGGGTGTAGCCTGCTGAAGTGTGGGCAGGTCATCGTACTCGTCCAGGAGTCCGTGCCTGTGTAAGCCACCATTGGTGTTGGAAGCTGTGTGCAGGAACGGAAAGGAGAACGGGTACATGGCTGGAGTTGTCTTTATCTGAAAGTCGAAGATAGAAGGAAACGTATCACATTTTTGTTGGATTCTTTGTAGTGGTGCTGCTTCTAAACTGGCGAAGTATCAACCTTCAGGTTGTGCACGCGAACAGCTTTGTATTTACCATTAAATTAGTATTCTTTAATCTTACTAAAACTCACCTCCCTCTCTAAGATGAAAGAAGATCCCTTTAGTAGATAAATTAGTAGTCTATATTTTGTTTGCAAGTAGAGGGCCACCTCTCCAGTAGGCATCATCCCTAAGCTGCTGTCTACAGCATCTTTCACCTCGAGGGTCTGAGGGGTGAAAATGGTCTCGGTTCACTTAATGCATAATTTAAATGTCATGGAAGATTGCAAAAATTTAAAACTTATGTAAGGGTGGAACTAGTAGGGATCCTGCAGTGCCTGGCAAACGAGATGTAGTTAGATTAGACCCAAGAGAAGCACAAGTCCGATACCACGACCCCATTGTTTCACATGTACACGAGCTTTAAATCGGGCAACTAAGAATAAATTCCATTAGCTCAAAGTTTTGGTATACCTGCAGCCGAGTGAGAGCGAGTGAGGTCGAAGTAGTGTAGCCCGAAGTAATACCACTTTGCCAGTCGTGTACATTGTTGTCTACTCGTGATGGCAATCACACCTTCCGAATTTCCATTGAAAACTGAAACTGACGTCAACCCTGATGATGCCAAACTTTGCACCTGAAATATAATAGTTCGTGCCTTATTTTTTACCTTTAAATTATTTAATTTTAAAATTTTAAGAATGAGGGTAATCATATATTTTTAAAACAATACTCAAGTTTTTAATCTACCTGGTATATGATTGCGGATTAAATATCTCCAGTAATATAAAAAGAAAGTTTTAAATAAATTGTGTTAATTTGCATTTAATTTTGCAAGTTAACAAAATAGCAGAATACAAATTTTTGCTAACCATTGTCAGTCTGCCTTCTGTGTCCTTGTATTTGAATATCCTCAGACGAGAGGGTAGCGTGGTGGTGCCAGCTTCAGCAATGATGATGAAGGTCCCAGTTGTCAGCACTAGCCAGGCTCCCTGTTATATTATGCCAGTACAATTATTGAAGTAAACTGGAGTCAACCTTTAAATGCCAGTATTTCTTCACCTGTTCCGTTGAACTAATTTTTTATAAACATGAAGTTTGTCATTTTGAAAAGGTAGGAAAAGTAAGTGTACATTAAATTTTAGATTAAATGGGTAAACTTAAGATTGTTAGGTAACTGTGGACCCACAATGTATTTGTTGCTGCGAGGTTTAAATTTCTCATTTGTAAAGCCTCTTCACTTTAGCAGCTGTACCTAGTCTCGGGAGACGGGAGCTGTACCTTAATTCTAACCTCGACTCCATAAAGCAAGGCAATTTTGAAAAGCAAATGACAATATAGTAGGTCATTAAGTACTTTTGGCAATAAAAATACAGAAATTACTTCAAAAGGAATAAAATGAACTAAATCAGTTAGTCGCATTAAATCATTGTTAAAAGAAACCTAGAAGCCCAAGAACTGGAACTAGTCTAAATATAACTCCACAAAGTCTCGTCCAATCAGCTCCAAGTTTCAAACCCTGGTCATCTATTACCAGGTGAAGGTTCTTAAAGCAATTGTCATGGACTTTATTTATAGACCTTTCCTGAAACCGATTTTCAAGAGATTAAGAGCCTCTTTTAATGGACCTTCACATTTTAGGGTATTCTTATTGGTTATGGATTTACACACGGGCATATAATGGTCTAGTGATGTACACATATGCATCCGTACATTTATACACAAATTCTGCATACTAACAAATATATTTACACCATGTATGCATGTACAGACGCATTTGTGCATATAATACACAAATAACGCACATACAAGAGAGGAGCTTACGACGACGTTTCGGTCCGACTTAGACCATTTACGAAGTGACACTAACCAGAAGTGGAGCAGGACGGCTATATACAGGCAGGAAGAGGTAGTGGTGGTAGTAGTAATAGTAGTAGTGGGGGGAACTGAGGAGGAGCCAGTGAAATGTAAAGGGGAGCACTGCAAGGGAGCTAGGTGCCCATAGAGGGAGAGCAAGTGCACAGAGCTGGGGGGAAGGGGAAGTGATGAAATAAATAATGAAGGAACAAACACTCGACAGAAGAAAGACAAGAAAAGAAAGAGGGAGAAGAAAAAATGAGGAATCAGGTTAAGCCACGGGTGTTCTGAAGTTTGGAGCATTTTAAAATGTAGTGGGAGAGGAAGACATCTACAGAGATGAAGCCAGGACAAAGATTCATACAAGGAAAGTTGTGTATTAGAGAGGATTCAACAAGACTGCGACTGTTAAAGTTGGAAGTAGGGAAGAGTTTTAGCAGAAGACCAGTCTATAGGATGGCTGTGATCTCTGACGTGACAGAAAAGAGCACTGTTAGTGTCGGCAAGCCTAACACTATTTTTGTGCTCCCTAAGTCTGTCAGAAAGAGATCGGCCAGTTTCTCCAAAGTATTGAAGAGGACAGGAGGAGCAAGAAAGAGTAGATACCAGGAACATCTGTAGAGGGAGGAGAGGTATGAACGAGATTAGTGCGAAGAGTATTAGTCTGGCGGAAAGTAAGCTTGATGTCTAAGGGACGGAGAGAATTGTTGAGATTAGAAAAACCGGAAATGTAGGGAAGGCAGAGGACAGAAGAGTTCCCAGGAGTAGAGTTTGGGAGAAAAAATTACGTTTAGCTCATGAGAAGGCAGAATATGAAATGGTAAGGGTAGCCAAGACAGGAAAACTAATTATGAATTGGAAATTTCTGCTGGAAGGAACCGAGGATCACAGATGCGTAGGGCACGGAGAAAGAGGGAGATAAGAACACTTTTCTTGACAGGGGAAGCATGATAGGAAAAGTAGTGAATGTACATGCCACTGTGCATAAGTTTTCGGTAAACGGAAAAGGAAAAACCAGTATCTGAGCGGTGGACATGGACATCAAGGAAAGGAAGCAAGGAATTAGACTCCCATTCAGCTTTAAATTTAATGGAAGGGGCAAGATTATTAAGAGCTTCAACCCAACCCTCTTGTTCAACGGTTTCGTGTCATCTGTCCCTCTCTTCCCTATTTCTATGGCCTTCCCAAAACTCAAACCTGATATTCCTCTTCGTCCTATCAGAACCTCTAGAGGTTCGGTCTCTTATTCTCTTGCTTGTTGGTTGGCCAAAACCCTCACTCCCTTTCTTGGTACTTTTTCTCCTGCCCACCTCCGTCACTCTCAAGACTTCATTGAACGGATTCACGCTCTCCCAACCTGCAAGATGCTTAGTCTTGACGTCGAGTCCCTCTTCACCAATGTCCCTCTTGATGATGTCCTTGATTTCCTTAGAGAGAAGGTCCTTGAAGGGTTTCTACATCTCCCTATACCTATTGAAGTCTTTCTTGATCTTATCCGCCTCTGTATGGGCTAATTCCTTTTCCTTCCAATATTCTCAAACCTTCAGTGTCGCTATGGGCTCTCCTCTCTCCTGTCCTTGCTAATCTTTACATGGAATACTTCGAGACTGTTCTTCCTACCATCGATGTGCAACTTTCACTCTGGCTCCGCTATGTGGATGACATCTTTGATCTGTGTCCTCATGACTAATCTCTTCCAACCTTTTCTTGAAGCTCTTAATAATCTTGCCCCTTCCATTAAGTTTAAGTGAATGTGAATCTAATTCCTTGCTTCCTTTCCTTTATGTCCATGTCCACCGCTCAGATACAGGTTTTTTTTTCCTTTTCCGTTTACCGAAAACCTATGCAGTGGCATGTTACATTCACTACTTTTCCTATCATGCTTCCCTGTCAAGAAAGTGTTCTTATCTCCCTCTTTCTCCGTGCCCTCCGCATCTGTGATCCTCAGTTCCTTCCAGCAGAAATTTCCACTTCATAATTAGTTTTCCCGTCTTGGCTACCCTTCCCATTTCAGAGACTGCCTTCTCACGAGCTAAACGTAATTTCTTCTCTCCCAAACTCTCTACTCCTGGGAACTCTTCTGTCCTCTGCCTTCCCTACATTTCCGGCTTTTCTAATCTCAACAATTCTCTCCGTCCCTTAGACATCAAGCTTATTTTCCCGTCAGACTAACACTCTTGCATAATCTCGTTCTTTACCTCTCCTCCTGAACAGATGTTCCTGGTGTCTATTTCTTGTTCTCCTGTCCCCTCAATACTTTGGAGAAAGGGCCCGATCTCTTTCTGACAGATTTAGGGAGCACAAAAAATATTTGTTGGGCCCTTGCCGACACTAACAATGCTCTTTTCTGTCACGTCAGAGATCACAGCCATCCTAGAGAAAGGTCTTCCCTATTCCAACTTTAACAGTCGCCGTCTTGTTGAATCCTTAATACACAACTTTCCTTGTATGAATCTTAGTCCTGGCTTCGTTCTCGTAGATGCCTTCCTCTCCCACTACATTGTAAAATGCTCCAAACTTCAGAATACCCATGACAACCTGATTCCTCATTTTTTCTTCTCCCTCTTCCCCTTTCCTTTTGTCTTTCTTCTGTCGCGTGTTTCTGTTCCTTCATTATTTCACTTCCCCTTCCCCCACATCTGTGCACTTGCTCTCCCTCTATGGGCACCTAGCTCCCTTGCAGTGCTCCCCTTTATCTCCGACTCTGTTCCCCACTACTACTACTACTACCACCACCACTACCTCTTCCTGCCTATATATAGCCGTCCTGCTCCACTTCTGGTTAGTTTGACTTTGTAAATGGTCCAAGTCGGACCGAAACGTCATCTTAAGCTCCTCTTTTCTATGTGCGGGTTATTTGTGTATCGTTCCAGTCACGGTATTGTGCCTTTTTTTTTTTGTCATTTGTGCATATAATGATTTATACACCCAAGTCATCCTATTTTGCTCCACACTTTCTAAAAGTACAAACCATCTCAACCCATCCTCAGCCTTCTGTATAATACTTGTACTAGCCCCGCATCTATCTCCGAACTACGAATTCTCTGCCTAATATTCACACCACATATTGCCCTCAAACTGCCTCCAGTCTATTCTGCAACATTTAAATTCCATACTTCTCACTCGTAACTACATTAGTACCCCTTTTGCCTACATAAAGTTCCGTCTCAACAGATGCTTCATTGTACCAACCTTTTCCCTCCTTAGTTAATACCTTAAACTTTCACCGATAGCCTACTTCACTTCCAAATAATAGTCATTTTCTCCTTCCAGTATGATGCTTAGTCTTTCATTACCTAATTTTTTGTGTTACTCTAATCACCTTGCACTTTTCTATGTTCATTTTTACTTTCACTGTACTCATTACTCACGAAATCGTAATGACACGATTGCTTTGAGGGGACTTGAGCTAGAGTTCGTCATGGCCATGCTAGCGGGAGATTAGTCTGTAAAAGCTTTAATTTGTGGACAGTGGTGCCTATGCTAACCTTCCTATGGTGTAGAAATATACCTAGTTGGACGAATCTTATTTTAGCTAGGTGGCCCAGTGGCTAATGCGACGGTCTGAAGTTTTGAGACTCTTACCGCGGGTTCAAACCCCACCCGTGGTATGTTTTTCATTTTACATAAATCAAAGCAATCTCAGCCTTAGTAAGTACGCTGAGGCACTGTCTGCTTCTGATTTAAGCTTAACAGCTCCCAAGTTGTCCTCGCATAGTGTTATCAGGTTTCATTTTTAGTCTAATATGGGGTTACTAATTTTCCCCAAGCTTAAAAACACATGCTTTTAAACTTGAAGTGATCGTAGTGGAAATCTTCGTTCTACACGGATGAAAATAAACAAAAAAAAAAATTTTGAATTTATTCTAAGTAATCCAAACCCTTTTCCAAGGTTAAAGGGGGTTTTTTTAAATACACTAAAAAAAGCTAAAAAATATGTAGTTTAAATGCCTATGTTTTTTAAAGAAATCAGTACCATATTTTAGATACGAGTACCACCGATAAGCTTGGGAACAAACCTACAAAAAAAAAAACCGGACAACCCCACTGGTACCCCCCCTTTTAAAGATTCTTAGCTCTTATAAATGTTTTTTAGAAATATCCCTCCTAATTGCTGAAGGGTGTTAAACCCAAAGCATGTTTAAAAACCCCCACCTTTATTGCCTCTCATAGGAAGTAGGTCTTTAAGTGAAAGATTCACTAGGCATCTTGCCAACACTGGGGAGCTGGTAAGGTAGTCTAACATGCCAAACACACTTGCCGCCAAACCTGAACCTGAAATAGGAAAAATTTCAAAACAAAAATTTTTCTTTATTCAACAGTAAACTTTTGCTTATCAGTAAAAATTTTAGTTTGAAACAATGAAGCTCCATTTTAAATCCCTCACCACGACTCTACATGTTTTTTATCGGAATGCGGCCCCCACCTCACCTCATCTTCAAAAACCCCAAAAAATGTGGCCGTAGCCAAACAAACCATTTCCACATCACTGCAAGAGAAGCATGGAAGATTTTTTTTGGGGGTGCAAAACTGCGGGGTTTCGGGACGGGGCAACTTAACCTTTCAGAAAGTCTTAAAACCCACAACTTTGTTGCATCCTTTCGCATGTGTAAAATTAAGGAACCGTACGGAAAAAATTAGTTTAAAATAAGAAGGGCTCAAAGCAGAGTTTTTTAAAAAATTTAAAATATGTCTAAAAATTCTTTAAAAAAATTTAGTATCTAAAAGAAAATTTTTCCCGGAATCTAGGAAATCTTTACCTTTTTATTTTGATGTGAAGACGGCGCCCGCGGGGCAGCACAGCCATCCCCCTTTCCCCAAACACTACCAACCTTTCCCCCTACCAAATGCTGGACTGGCTTTTTTCCACATCAATGGCAGGATCTGGCCGGTTAAAACAAACTTCATGAATTTTTTTTGTCTATAATTTTTTAATACAAAAAAGAGCCCAAAAATTACCCTTTAGTTACTAAATTTTAAAAACTTTCCATTTTTTCATTTTTTCCATTTCACAGTACCCCTTTATGCAATTACACAGTTTTCACTAAGTTTGTTTATTGTAGATTTGGAGGCGCCCACCTGCCCTGTCAAGGCCCCACAGTGTATCCCCCGTGTTAAATTAACTCGCCCTTCAACCCAAAATTAAAAGGGAAACGAATTAAAATAATTAAAACCAATAGTTCATGCTGCTCAAGTTATATTTCAAGGATTTAAAAATTTTTAACACTTACACAGTATCACGGATGAGAGGGGAAGTAGGTAAAGGGCATAATCAAACCAGAGGCTTTCCAAAGGAAATTTTACAAGCCAAATTAAAAATCAGTTCTACAACTTACTGTATTGGGGCAATTATACTTTGTTGGTAATTTTTGCTCCTCGTAAAAAACCCCACAGCTTCTGTCCCTCCTGAAATCCAATAAAAAAAAAATTGGGGGTTTTAAAGGTTAAAAATTCCAGAAGAACTATTTAAACAAATATTGAAAAGTTTTTAAGTATAACTTTAGATACTAAAAGGAAAGTTCCCTTAACGGAGCACCCCCTGCAAGCCCGTCCCTTTTTTCTTGCATTTTCTCTAAGTAACTTCCAGTTTGTTGCCCCCGTTTTCCCCGATGTGGTGACCCAGAAGGCACAATGCAGGTCATAATGTTTTAGCCGTTTATAAGGTCGTTCACCAGCAATATTTCAGTCATTTTCCACATCATTTAAGAAAAGAACCGAACCAGTGATGATATTCACCTGTCGTGGGGAACCTGCAACTGAAGGATTTTTTTAAGTTTGGTCGGGTTCACTGAACTACTGCAGATTCTACTGCAACATTAATTGTTTAAAATAAAAGATATTTGAAAATTTTTTAAATAAAAATTTTTTTCATGAAAAAAATCTTACTGCAAAGAACCCAGTCTTTCCAGATCTATATTGTTTAAAAAGTTTTTTTGGGGTAGAGAATCCATTTTGAAACCAAAAGCTTTGGTGTTTGGGGGGGGGGAAAACTATTGTCAAATCCCCAGCACTGCGATCTCCACTCTTAACTAGCAAGTTTCCCGGCTCACTTCCATCCTCCACGGTAGAGCAACACTGCAGACATTAAAAGGGAAAAAAAAATCGCACTTAAAATTTCATTGAAAAAAAAATTAAACCAAATTGCACTGTATCAAGTTTACAAAATTCAGCATATTTAGCTTTTAAAACACACGAACACCAAAGACTAACTCACATTAGGGGCTTCAGAATCCTAAGACCTCTGAATGTAGTGACTCCCGGTATGAAGACCGTGCCATTTGGCCGAATTAACAGCACTGACTTTGCGAACTCCGACACATCTACACCCTGTTTAACCGAATACAAATACTGGTTAGAGTCTAGTAGACCGTCGATTAAAACTTTCCTTTGAAACGTTTTGTCCATTAAACTATTTCCAAATTTCGGCATATTTTCGTTTTACACTTCATAAAATTCAGTTTAAACGGTTCTGCTTCTCGGTAGGGAAAAATTTCAGCGCCGCAAGCTGGATGAATGACTTTAGTGACCCTATTAAATGACTGGACTACCATCCACCTCAGCCCAGAGGGGCCCTTTCAGAAACCCCCTCTCCACTCCCCCCCAAATCGTCAAAAAAACCCCCAGTAACGCCCTTTTAAAAAGCTAGAAATTGTACTATGCATTTTAAGTCTTAAGCAACAAAAAAAAACATACTTTTTGTAAAAATTTAACAGAAATTTCATTTTTTTTTAGAAGTTTTGGGAAAGACTTTTTTTTGGGGGGGGGGGGGGAAACCTGGGAAGGGGGCCCCTTTTTTTTTCCCAAAACCCTTTTTCATTTTCCTTTAACATGGATTCGTTTTTAAACACTGCTTTTTTCAGGAGCCTAAATGGGTCTTAATCGTCTGTATTTTAAAAAAAGACTTTTTCCCCTTGTTAAATGAAAAAATTTTTTAAAATACCCACTTACTGGGGCATCCGGTACATACCGGGAAATTATAAGAGAGTGGCCTCAATGTTCAATCCCCCAACAATGCAACATCCATCGGAAAATGTTTTCCACCGCTGGGTGGCTGGTCTTCCTTTAAAACACGAAGTCCACACCCATGGGGAAAACCCATTCACTGTCCCATCAAGGGAAATAACTGAAGCTGTAATAAAAATTGCATTAGCCCTTTTAAAACCCTTGCAAAAAAGAAAACCCAAATTTTAAATTGCATTACATAGAACTTGTAAAGCGAATAAATTTCCCTTTAATATTTAAAAATTTTTCCCTTAAAATTTGGGTCAATGTTTTCACAAAATAAAAGGTACTATTCACCGTTTTTTCGGGAAAAAAAAACTAAACTCAGACCCTTTTGGTAACTAAAAATTTCCCTTTAAAAACCCTTTTAGCTTTGTTTGACATTAGATACGCTAAATTCAAAATTTAAAGGCAAAACCCCAGTGTGCATATTTTTTTTGAAGTTTAAATTTTAAAATTAACCCATGTTTTTTTTTTAAAGATTTTTGATAATGAAAAGCTTAATTTTGTGCCTAACTTCTGATAAAATGTGAACACTTGTCCTACTTGCTACTACTTCCTTTGGAGCACTGTATTTAAAATTTTACATATACAAACCTTTCGAATACACTTTTAAACTCTTAAAATTTTATTTGGAAACAGTCAGATCCAGGGGAACTACGACTTGAAGGAATTGAATTTTGTGTCCATGCATTAAATTTAGAAAAAACCCATTTAAATTAAAACTGAACAAATCCCTGTGGTCGATTTACGTAGGGAAAAAAAATCCTTGGGTAGGGGGTTGGTTGGGGTTAAATTTTTTAATTAAACTGATCCCCTTTTTATTTTCTAGCAAAAAAAAATTAAAATGGCCCCCCCCTCAATTCTTCCAAAACTATTAAACTGGTTCACTTGGGATTTTTAAATTTTGCCCGTTTTAAGTTTCAATTTATTATTTTAAAGGGCCCCCTGTGATAACTTTAGTTAAGCCTTTCATTGTAGTTCCACTTTACTCAAGATTGAAAAACCCAATACCTGGCCTTTAAAGGGGAGTGTCTTTTTGGGTGTTTAAACTACAGGTGTTTTTTTGCGATAGTGTACAGAAAAATTTCTGCACAAATTCGTGTTAAAATGGGGAGAACCGTTCCTTAACCCCCCTTTTAAAAGGTCATCTACAGGGGCGGGTGTATCCCAGAGCCTGCGGGATAGAAACCCCCGATCAGTGTTTCCTTTAAAACTCCCAAACCCTCGCTTTAAACCACTGGAACCCCGCTAGCCCCCAATAAAAAATTTTTCAAAATAGGTATTTTCTACCTATTTTGGGCGAATCTTATTTTTGGCTAGTTGGTTTCCCGTGGCTAGCCCCGGGCGGTCTGGGGTTTTTTAGAGACTGATCGCGGGTTCTATCTCCCCCCCGTGGTATGGTTTTTTTTCAATCGTGTTCCCTTTCGAAATTTTGGAGTCGTGTTACCTTGAACAATTTTTTTGGTTCACTGGACAAGTCCTGAAACCTGATCGCCATCCACCAGGAGCAGGTCCTGAAGGTCACTCTGCCGGGCATATTAATGTTGTATCGATAAATATATGCTTATGGTAAATTTTTAATTCCTAAATACTAACTAATCAGAACATTTTTAAATTTTACAACCAAGAGTTCACAATAAACCTCATAGCCAAGGTTTATTTTCCTTAAATTTTCCTAATGGGCTTCAGTTAGCCAGACTTAATTCATGTTAAATTTACCAAGTTAACAACCCAGACTTCGTAAAAATTGGCTAACTAATTAAAGGGAAAGTATTCTTATTCACTGAAAATTTATTACTCACAGAGTCCCAGGCGTTTACAGAGTCCACAGAGAATGTAAAGACGTTTGCTACAGTAAGGGTGTCAACTGTGAAGGAGCCAGAAACTTCTTGCTGGCTCTCGCACTCCTTCCTCAAGACTGAGTGCCACAACGTCTCAACATCCACCGCATTCATCAGACCCTAGCGAGAAAGTGAACGTTAAAAGATATTGTCCTAATTCAAACTAGTCTTGAAATATTCGTAACTTAACCCCCTCCCCCCCCCCAAAAAAAAAATGCACCTTTAACTTCAGGTCGACGTCTGGCTCCATAACAACACTTTGGAATGATGCTAGGGCAGTAATTCTGGCGGGTAGGTCACTCAACCAGAACTCTTCAGTAAGGGTGTTCACATCCACCTCATTAAGAGATCTTAAAATCCTTACATTATCGTAGAAGATAACATCGCCTGTAGAAAAAGAAAGGTTGGTTTTAAATTTAGAAAAAGTATTTTACAATTATTTTTAATAAGCGGGTTTGCCAACCTTTAACAGTTAGGGTAGTCCACGTGGATGACTTCATCTTCGAGTACCAGGGACTCTACAAGAGTACTCAAGTCGACACGCACAGCATCCTCCTCAGTAGTCTCTCTCACAAATAGACTCTTAATCATGTCGAACTTTCCAGAATAGAACACCATGGAGTAGAAATCTTTCTTACCAGTTACCTGCAAAGATTTTTTTTTTAATTTATCAAACAAAAAATCCATACAGGATTTGCCAAGGTCTTTTTTCCTGTACTTACAGTTTGTGCTGTAGCCGAGGCTGTGAGAGCCTGTGTGCTGAGGTCCCATCCCTGGATAGTCCCATCCAAGACTATTTCACTTCCATATACAAGACCTGTATATGCGAATCATTTTACTTTAAAAGCAAATAAAAATTACTGCAAATTAATCAGAAATTCACTGCACCAACTTACTCCTGGCATATTAGATACTTCCCTTCAAATTTTAAATACCAGTAATTTCACATTGTCATCTGCGCTTCAAAAGCTAAAATTTAGTAAAATAAAATTAACACCTACCAAAGGAAGCTTTATTAATAATAGTTCTCTCGTCCAGTTTTGCAGTCGAGTGCAAGAATCTACTCCAGTCTACCGTTTGCAGGTACGCGCCTTCTAACGTGACCGCTGCTCCAGTAACTTGTTCTAGGGTATTTCTGCCAGTAAGCGTCTGATCGCCTTGTTTCAGCAACCATCCTGAGCCGTAATCTCTTGCTGATACCCCGTCAAAATCTCCTGCGAAGAAAAAACCAAGAGTATTTAAATGCTTCGAAGTAGTGTATTATCTCATTACATTAACTCTCCAAAATTTACAAAAAAATCTACGAACCTCGTACCAAAATTTAACATGTATATACTTAATTACAGAAGTTTCATTTCCCTAATACCTAGGAGGTGCTTGGCGTGAAGCTGTACAAAGAAAACTTGGTTTAGTACAGAAGGAAAAGTGTGGGAGAAGAGACTGCGAGGAGAAAAATGGGAGTAGGGAAAGTGTGCCGAGATTTTAATTAGCTGACCAGTTAAGTAAATTAGACAAACTTACCACCAAATTCGAGAGCTTGAACGGAGACTTTTCCACTGAATAATATTGAATCTGTAATGTATTCTGCATCGTCTTTGTACACTACATTCTTCTCGAAGACTCCCAAGTCTGTGCCTGTGACGGTGTTGGCAACTAGTGCATACATGTACCTGCCAGTCAACGTCTGTGTGCCAGAAGCTGAAAATTAATTTGAACTTCTTACAATATATTCATGGAGGTGAAACTGTCAGATCACCTGTGAAATGAGAGGGTGGGAACGTTACCATGCGTCACTGGTGATACACCAGCTAATTTATTAAACAAAAAAAATCATTTCTCCCCTGGTTAGGATGGCTTAAGAAAGGAGAACCTATAATGATAGAAAAACTTGCTCCAAGTAGTTTCCGTAAAACTATTTCCCCATACAAAACCCAAAGAACATGGAGTTTAGAAACACTGGGTAAAAAGAATCTTCATTTACTGGACACTAAAAAAATTCAGTCATGTTGCGTACCACTTTTTTTTAACGCGTCTGTGACAAAGACTTCATTAAAGATTATACCGTCAATAGTGCCACAGTGACCAACATTCACTTCTCCCATCCTGGTCGCCGTTAACACCTGAAGGGTGGTGAAACTCTTCTGGCCTGCTCAAAGAAAAAAAGTTAGCAAAGATTAAAAAAATATACAAGGATTCATCTAGTGAATGCATTAAACTAGCATAAATTCTTTTTTTTTAACAAACGTAAACATTAACAAACCAATTATTTCAGCATCGGTGTTTGCGAGGACAACATCAGAGAGATCTACGCCACTGACCCTGACAGAACCACTGACCGACAAATCATTCATGACTGGCTCCAAAAGGTAGATGTCCCTCGTTATTATCTGGTTAGTCTTAGTCTTTAACAAGATTTGCGAAGCTAAGAACTTCACAGGATAAGGCACCATCTTTCCTGTGGTCACATTTCCCTCAACTTTCTGGAGTGGGAACACCAGACGAAACAAATATAGGAATAAAATTTGAAAATGTTTTAAATAAATCAGACTCAACATTTAGTAGTCAGATAAAAATTACACATTCAAGCCTAAATAAAACTACATACCAGACCATTCGTGAATGTTACTGCATTTGTGAAAGTGTAGCTGCCATGAGTAAGAACATAGGAATTTCCTTCGTAACCATTGATTCTACCAGTAATTAAAAGGTCACCAGTAATCTGTAATTTAAAACATGAACCTGTAATACTGGGATCATGGTGTCGTAGGTGTTAAGATTATGAACCCCACTTTTAAAACCCTATATTTAATTTCTCACCTGGACAGGGCCGAGGAACACAAGAGGAAGGTCGACGTAAGTGGCAGAGAGGAAGAGAGCAGAGTTGCGGATTTTAGCTAAGGACACACCATTCAACTGGTCATCAACGACAAACACAGAATCGTCGAAGGTCAAAGACCCGTTTATTTCTGTGGCAGCTGAAGTTAAAAAGTGTGCCAACAATTAGTTAATTTAGTTTAGGATTTAACTAGCGCTAGGAATGTCAGAATACACGATACCAAAGTTTAAACTCGTGCATTTATGCAACGTCAATTTTCCAGTTCAGTTTAAATACATTAATTGATCAATTTTAATGTAAGACTTGTGTACCATTTAGCCCATTGAGGACGTCCTGCTGAACATTCATGACAAAATCATTTAGGTTGTAGCCAGCTACTTTCAGGCCAACGGTACTGTTTCCTAGGAGGGTCAGGTCTGTGAACAGCTTCGTACTGCTCACTACCTGCTGCTGCTCCCCACTCAGCACCAACACTGACAGTCTCCCGTCTACTTGCTGAAATTTATTTTTTTTTACTGTTAAGACGAAAATGACACTTTCAGGAAGAAATGTTTCACTAAAGCTGACATTCTAAAAAGTATCCTTCAACAGATTGTTCATTGTATTAAAATATTCATTGCCACTACTAATTATGAGAGCAAATTTACAACAAATGCTAGAGGTACTAAGTGAATGTAACAGAACAGTGACACCAAGACTACCTGAATTTGGTCGAGATTAGAGTTTATGATGATTGAATCTGCAGCAACAGACACAAACGTGACGGGTGTGTGGATAATCTCATTTGGTCCGTTTTTCAGGTAGATGTTATCAGGTATTTGAACACCATTAACAGTCTCTTCAACAGTCAGCTGCTCCCAGACGGCCAAGCCGCCTACTGTGTGAACACCTGATAAAAGAAAACTGACATGGGAGTCTTAAATTTTTATTAACCAAGTTCTTCCTACCCCCCCTCCCACAGAACTCAGATTTATCAACACGTTCAAACTTTCACCAGGTTATCTGCCAAATAACAGGTTCATAGCTTCGAACTACAGACCAATAAGCCTTTCCTCCAGAGTGAAAATTTATGGAATCTATAATTGCCGAGACTATTCGTAACCACCTTGCAAGTTCATTAACGAATTAGCACTGTTTTACAAAGGGGAGTTCCAACCTTAAGAACTTATTTTTCACTAAGGTATTTGAGGAGGTAGATCTTGGGAATGAATATAATATTGTGTATATGGACTTTAGAAAGACTTGACAGTCCCACATCTGAGACTATTAAGAATAGTCTAGGCACACTGAATAGATTTTTTTTCCTGGACAGACGTGGCTGACAGATAGGCAACAGTTTGCATAAACGGAGAAATCAGGGTGGGGAAGCGTCACATTAGGTGTTCCACAGGGGTCAGTGATGGGCCCCTCATCATTCACAATTTATATGAAAGATGAGGGTATAACTAGTGACAAACAAATTTGCCGATGACACCAAAATAGGCCGTCGAATTCATTGTGATGAGGACACGAGTGCTCCAGGAAGATCTGAATATATTGGTGCAGTGATCGGTGAAATGGCAGATGCAGTTTAAGAGACACGCAAAGCTCTAAGCGTTAGAAAGTTAAATAACCACAACACTTATAAACCAAACGTTAATCCTGATATCTCTGATTGCGAAAAAGATTTGAGAGTTCTGGTTAGCAGTAATGTAAAGCTCAGACAATAGTGCGTAAGTATTCGAAATAAAGCGAATAGAATTCTTGGCTTCATATCAAGAAGTATAATCAACAAGCCATACCACGGGGGGTTTATGAACCCGCGGTCAGTGTGTCTCAAAACTCCAGACCGTCGCGTTTTGAGAGACTGACCGTGGGTTCAAATCCCGCCCGTGGTATGGTTTGTTTGCAATCGTGTCATTACGATTTCGTGAGTCATATAATCAACAAGTCAGCAGGTTATTCTTCAAGTACGTCTTTGGTTAGGCCCCCTTTATATTATGTTGTACAGTTTTGGTCGACGTATTATAGAACGGATACAATTGTGCTTGAAAACTTACAGGATGATGAAGATACCATTATTAATATTATTATAATCAAAAAGAAGCGCTAAGCCACAAGGGCTATACAGCGCTGCAGGGTAGGGAAGGAAGCAAGGGAATTGGATGGCAGAAGGGAGGGGGGATGATCAGCAGGTTACAGAAAACAGCGGGGAAGGGGATAGTACGGGGGTAGAAGGTAGCAAGAGATTGAAGTAGAAAGGGCTGAAGGTATCAGAATTTGTGAAGTCAGTCAGTCGTTGTCAAAAAGTCAATGAGAGAGTCCGGATGAAAGGTGGGTCCATCAGCGAAAAGGGAAGGTAAAGAGAGCAGCGGAGCGAAGACGACGACGACAGGTAAATTCTGCGTGCTCGTTGATAAAGTGGGCAGTCCAACAGAATGTGGCTGACTGATAATGGAGCTTGGCAATTCTCACAGAGAGGAGCAAGATGAGTATGGCCAACGCGAAGACGGGAGAGAAGTCTCCCAACCTCGACACTGGTGATAAGAAGACGGCCAGTAACCTATACTCGGTTTAATAGACTGAAGTTTGTTGCCGAGCATAGTAGACCAACGTTGTTGCCAAGGTGTGAAGGTGGGAAGATATTGCAGCAAAATAGTCCGTAAATGGAATACCTCTAAGAAACTGGTAGGTCATGTACTGCTGACCGCGCAGCAGTGTCTGCCTGTTCATTGCCCTGTACGTCAACATGACCCGGGACCCAAAAAAAAACATCTTTATGCTTGGTAAAGATGCGGCGTAGCCAAAGTTGGATACGGAGGACTAAGGGGTGAGGTGTATCAAAAAAAAAATTTTTGTTTTAGCCTGTTTTAAAACACTAAGGGAGTCTGAGACAACCACAAATTTATGACACAGGCATAGATTTCAATACGGATAAGTGCTGTAAGGTGGCATATAATTCAGCAGTAAAATTTCTAGCCCAAGATAGTAAATGCCCTTTTATGACGCTGTCCGGAAACACTGCTGCGAATCCTACGCCGTCAGAAGACTTAGAGCCATCTGTGTACACAGCAATGGCATGAGAATGAGAGTGAAAGTGGTCAAGAAAAAGAGCGGGAAGCGACGTAGACAATTTGGGGTTTCAAGCAAGGGAGGGAGAAAGAACAGACTCGAACAGCTGGAACTTCCCAGGGGGGTAGGGAAAAGTGAGATGCTACATTTTACATAGAAGGGGGTAGTTGAGAGAAGACAAGAGCGAATGAAGGCGAAAAGAGAAGGGACGGAGTAAACAGGGGCGGCGAACAAAAAGAATGCTTTTAATATCTGTGACCATTCTTAAATGGAAGGATTGCGGAGATCATGAGAGCGTACATAGTTTGCGCAGGCAATGGGATCACG